CAAACTTAATTTTAAATATTACCTACTTAAGTTACGGTACAATTTTCTACAAGGTTGAATGTTGAAGGTTTGAATATTATAGATGCTACGTTATTGAATAAATTAAGTATATTATATTCATTGTACATTACAATAGTAGTTTTATAATTTTTGGACTTTATTATGTTATAATTATAAACAACGAATTGTTAGGCGCGGTTTTGTTATAGAGAAATATTCAGTCCTCAGGTCAATCAGTCCAAGAACCTCTTTAATACCACCATTTCCTAACCCTAATCAGTTCATACTCTATGTATGCACAAACTCTGCTAATAAATAATACTCAGAAGGGATGGAGAGAGAATTATTATAAAAACAAGACAATAGGCTTACAATTTTGTATATGGCCATTTTCAACAATGTAATTTTCATGTTAAACTATCTGATAACTAACAAAATAAAGAACTACGTAATATAATAAAATTATATAGTGTGACATATAAAATAGGTTTATTAAATATGACCACAGCGAATTACAGATAAATAAAAACAATGGCCAGGATATAAGGCACATAACTTTAATGACAATACAGAAATTGTATAGAATTAAATAAATCGTAGAGTTCTGTATTTATATAAACTACGATAATACTGGGTTAATGTTGATTTGGAAATCTTAAAAATATTAAAAAGAGAAAAAGGAAACAATTGATTCGAACGACCTCAAAGTAAGAGCGTCTTCGGACTAGTCTAATGCTGTTGGCCGCAGCTGGCCTTTACAGCTACACCGGACGATAGTGGGCGAGTGCAGATGGCACTCAAAACCAAAGGAAGGACTTATGGAACGGCAGAAGGCTAACTCTCGCCTGACGGATACAACTTTCGTCTGAGCGGGTTCGAACTTCGGCTAGGCCGTCGCAATTTCGATCTCCGTTTGAATTGGACGGGAGGTCGGAGCGGCAAACGTCGTCTTAATTCGATTGTTTTTTTTTATATGCGTAAATGTAACAAGAGACGATGTGCTTAGAGAATAAGTTACCTTAGCACCCGCTTAGTGAGAGACCTTCCGACTTAATTTAGGTATCGTGTGTGACGCTTGCAACATGCAAGAGTCAGTCTACGCGAACAAAATTTTCAATTAGTTAGCAATTTTTCACGGCGACTGTGAGGGTCCATATTTGGACCACTGCAAATTCGCTACACTACTCCACTGAAGATTTAGTCACGGGATTTTGTTATACTTCAGCAATTACTAAATTTAATCACCAACAAGCACGATATCTACTTTTGATATGTGTTCACATTTAAAACATACATTAATAATTATGACTTATAATAATCGTATATTCAGAAAGAATGAGCATTGAACAAAAAGTTTAAAATATTGCTAATAAAGAAAATGTTCATTATATGATTTTAATCGAGCGGCACAATTTGTAGTGCCAGCTAATCATTAGAAATATTTGAATCTAATGTGCAGTGGAGCACGAAAGTATATCGCCGTTTCCCGGATTTATTTATTTTTGTTACCGGAGTGTTAATCAGAAAATTGCCACAAGCATTTTAGAATCGGTCAATTATTCGAACTCACGTACGTCTATAAATCACCGTAGTAAACCACTACACCGAGGCGCTATTAGTGTTAAAAAATGCCAATGTAAGCCCACTTTAATTACCTTTTGTGACCTGTGAGCGACATCAGAAGCCTTTGTACAACGTAGGCGACCTAAACTCCTGACGGCAGAGGGCGCCACCCTCACTAGATAAGTAGCAGTATAAACGATTTATTTTAACGTTACGCTGTGTAAATGGAACGCTGCCAATTCCTTCAAGTTCAGAAACAAAGTCGAGAATCAGATAGACGCGAAGATCATTGTGCAGACTGCGGAGCATGCCTCTCATTCCATTTTGGAAAAGTTTATCCTGTTTAATGCCAAGTCCTATCCGACATATATAAAATTAGGTCATTCTTTGCATAAAAGAAAAGATTTATTATCCAAAAGGTATATTATTGTTCTGAAAGTTGTGTAGACGCAAGACTAGACGGATTCGAATTAAAACTGGACGAGTATATTACATCCTAGATAAACACATCGGATTCTTTTTACCTGAATTCATGCAGGTAACGTTGCGGGCCACAGGTAGTCATGTATATATTGATTCAACATCGCATATTATTACTAAGCGTATTCAATATTTATAAATCTTGTACAAAAATACGTTTAGGTCTAGTCTGGGTCTAGGAATACCTAATCTATTAATAATTACAAATAAAATAACCCCCTCCCACTCGTCTTATTTAGTTGTACGCTAATTAATCAGGACTTTCGTAACGCTTGGTTTTCGAAGTCTATTTATTTAACTAATTTTAAAGAGACCTCTCTTCGAAATTTATTAATAAGTATTTTATAACAAAAAATATAAGACGCCTATCAAAGTCCGTTCTCCACGATATTTTTTATGTGAGAAGTCTAGCAAACAGTACAACATGAAATACAAAGACACGCAATTCCGCTCATACATAATAATAATAGAAGCATACATTGTATGGAAAACAGAGAACCCATTCTGGTTTCACGTTACTTTTAAATATTGCCATAGGTCGAAACGCCAGGCAAGCGATAAAAGTAATACAATTACCTAAGCGTTACTTCACTGTTCGCTGTTGCTAAGGCCTAAAGGTACAGTTTGATTGTTTGCGATTATGACACATCATGCGACCACAGTACCGATAACAATGATGCGTTTGGTTCGCCCGTTTCTCGCTTGGCAACAACGGCCAGGAAACTCTCAAGAAGGCACGGTTTACAATACTGAAACAATCATATAAGAGTGCTTCACTAGAAGTGTGTAAACGGTATTTTTTTAAACTAGTGTAATCGAGATTACTATTTGTTTAGTAGGATTATTATACGTGCAAAAAATTGCATTCAATTGATAATAAAGTACTCTAGGAAAGTGTTATAATATAATAGTACGATATATTATTAATTTATTTAACTTATTAAAATTTTAATGCATAAACAACTGCATAGTGCGGACTTAACAGCTTGTGGCATTTTCATCCGTACAGCGAACAGAAACCAACGTTTATTTTTGAAAATTATATAAAATAATGCTATTATTGGTATTTTAATTGTATGCTTAACATTCTATTAATTATAGAATGTTAATAACCTAATTAAATTATCTGAATAATTTTACTATATTACGATAAGAAAATATTTATTTATGTATATAACTTTAATGCACATATTACAACACTAAAAGTACATATGTGTAGTAACATCTTTTGGCATTTTCTATCAATCAACCATGAGCAGTGCAGAGAAAAATTATAGACGGTGCAAATATAGTGAATGAGAAAATTAAAGGTAAACGCAATGATTATAATATTAATTCTGTTTAAAAAGTACATTATTCTATATTGTCATAGGCTACTCACAAAACTATAAGTACCGGGATCGAGGTACAACTAGGTACAAAATTAAACTTTACGATGGATTTTGTTAATATTGTGTGTGTAAATTTGGTCCCGTCGAGACATTTACATTACTAAACCAACAATAGGTAGCACTGTCTGAGTAATTCGAAGCGCAATCGTAGGACGACCGTCACGGCTCGCATTACCGTCGGTCGTTCACAGTCAAACTCTACCTTAAAACCAGGGATGCCAGATGTACTCTTTTTCTTTAGTAGTCCATTCTGAGACAGAGTGGACAACCACTACCATCAGAAAGACAACTTTCTGATGGTATCAGTGGATTCTCTTCTGTTTCTTGGTGATAGAGCTTCTCGTAATTTATTCGGTTCGGCATTGTCTTCCTTAGTGATAGAAATCCTCGCAATTTGTCTCCATCTGGTACGTGTTTTGGCTATACGAGAACATTGTTCAATAGACGGATGTGTTTTAATCCGTTTTAATCATCATGGATCAATCGTTTATTTTTTATTATAAATGACTACCTCATCTGATGGTTAATGATGGCAAGACGTAGAATGTAACGCGCTTACTTAGAAGAAATCTATTCACCATAGACTAGAAGAATCCGAGGTTGTATTTCTCCGGGCACACGGAAGCTGGAAGTGTGTTCCACTTTTGGACTCAATCCAATGTTAATCGTACTAGGGAACTACATATAGATACGAGATTTTTGATCGGTACATGAACGATTTCATTATCGAACAATATTGACCTTCGGAAGTCAGTCAAAATAGGACAATGTACTTTGAAAAAGCAAAATCGATCAATATTCGAATTTTTTAATTTTTCGTACAAAATTAAATGTTTTAAAGCTGGCAACCCTGCTTAAAACGGCACAACAGTGCATCAACCCATCGAAATCCAATTACAAAGAACGAAGACGCTGAGACGTCATATAATATAGGGATTATTAAGTCAATACACGGAAATGCACATAAAGGCATGGACACATCGACGCTATCGTGTATTAGGCGCACCAGATACTGATTGGATTAAGCCTCTAACATACCTATACACATTTTATCTATAATAGGTCACAAAATGATAATAGTTTTTATTGTAATTAGAAACACGATAATTATTTTAATTTGAACGATAATTTCATTTCGTTTATTGCAACACATGTCGTTATATTACATTAGTCATTTAGGATAATAAGAATAATAAAGATAACAGCAATAAAGATTGCTTTTGACACATTTCTGCAAGTTACAAGTCGCTGTTTAGGTTTGTATTTATTTATCTTGTTATAATGTAAATAACAACATTTATTAAATAAACGGCCTCGGTGGTCTAGCGGTTTAGTACACGCCCTACATGCAATGGTCGCGAGTTCGATTCCTGGCACGGTACAAACATTTATATTCATGAGAATGATTTTTTTATATCCGTCTGTGTGTTTTCTATATATATTATGTAGGTTTTTACGAAAATATATTATTTTAACATATACATAACTCAGTAATGGGTTGGGCTATTAGTATACAAAACAATTGTCATTTTTATATTTTAATACCTTTTAATAAATGATAAAATTCGAAGCGGGCGGGATTCGAACCCGCACCTCTTGGCATACCAGAGCCAGAGCTCTTACCGTTGAGCTACCGCTTCTTTTTGATACAATTGAAAAGCTTTGTATTATGTGAGAATTGAACGCGTAAGCATTAGAAGGTGAGGCAGTATGTTAAACCACTGTACCACTAAGGCCGTCAAATAACGATGACAGACAGATAAGTACTTGATCAAGATAAACAAATTTTATTAAGTACCTAGTACTGTTTGTAAATTAATGCAAAATATGTACTGTGATAGTATTTCAATATATATATATAATATACAGATTTAGATAAATAGTTTATGAAGTTTTTCTCCCAAAGATAGAGAAGAAAAATATTTTTATTATATATATTACCTATATCACCAATTACTCCACAAAAAAATATCTTCGGACCATACATATAATTTCAATAAATATGAATCACTAAGAAATTTATTTAATGTAGAATAGAAATAAATTTATTTGTAAAAGAAAATAAGAATCAATTGTTAAAGGAGTGATATTAATCGAATTTGTAACGATTATATTACTCAATCGATGTTGAACGATTTGTTCGCAATATAATTATAACATTTGTAATACTACTTTCCAGTTCCATGAATAATAAACATACGTACATAAGTGGAATAAATCATTCACCTGAACATCAAATCATTAGATCCTGGACGAAATAAGAGAACCCTAAAAAATAGCTATTAAGTAAGTGCTTTTACAACTTGGATGAATACTAACTTAATGGACGATCAAAATGTTTACCGCAAACTAATATAACAAATTGTTTTTGATGCCAAAAGTAAAATATATTTGATATTCACTTAAAATATATATTTTTCATACTCGCCATTTCTTGTTTGCAATATTAAAAAACCATCTTAACACAAACACCGCATGCCCACCGGTGGGTCACTCCACAACAAAAGTAAATTTACACGTTGGGACCGGGTGATCACCCTGGGGCCTTTAATTGAAATAAATCTAGGTGTTAATGTTAACCTGTTACCTTAAATTATTGTACACTATATTTAAAGAATAATATACGTAATTAACAATAAAAAAATGATGGTCAATATGTGTGAAATAAGATTTCTCAATGCGGTTTTCAACATGTAGAATACTTGGTTAAAAATGCGGTAATTCCAAAACTTCGTAACATCACTACTTGCACGAACATACAGCAAAATTTTACATCTTACAAAACAGTTTCGACTCATGGCAAACTTCGCAGTGTTTGTCTGTCTGTAAAGTTGGGAAGTAACCGTTTATCCTCGCACGTTATGGGAAGGAACGAAACCCATATTTCAAAAAGTTTCTAAAATGTTAATGTGGCTAGATCCCATCCTAGTAATAGGAGGAGCTAAGAAAACATGAAGACTGATAATAAAAGACTTTTTCACAAAGACATCTTCACAGTCAGATTTGACGGCCTCGATGATCTAGTGGTTTAACACACTGTCTTACTTTCAATGGTCGCGGGTTTGCTTCCTCGCACGGCACAAACTTTTGTATTCATGAGTATGATTGTGTCGGTCTGGGTGTTTTCTATGTATAATATGTATGTATTTAAGAAAAAATATATCTAATTGTATCAGTTATCTAGTACCCATAACACAAGCTTTAGCTAGCTTCATTTGGGTCTAGATGGCGCTGTGTAAACTTTCCTGAGATTATTATTATTATATTATTACTATAAATACTTTAGCTGTTTACCGTAGCTCTACTCGTGTGAAACCTGTTACTTCCGGTTCCTGTAGGAAATATGAGAAATATTTTCTTAGTGGACGCCTACGTTAAACAGGAACACATATTATAAATGTTTAGTTTCTAACCTAGCCGTTTTAGTCGTGCGTCATTAAATCAGTCTGTCAGTTAAGCCATTTTATAATTATAAATATTGTTACATAAAAATCAGACCACAAATATTAAAATTAGCAAATATAAGATAGAGAATGGAATAAACCCGGCGAGCGGCACATCTATTCGTAGCTACGAAATTACTAAACCTACCAATTCACATGATGGTAGAATTAATTGGGAACCTAAATCCAGTAGGTATAGGGATAGAAGAGACGGTTAATAATGGAAAGGTCTTGACAATGCCAGGTAGATCTAGCTAGACCAATTGGTCCTCCTCGAAACTATTGAGCTTAATTCCTGATGACTAGCGATATGTATCATATTTTATAACAATTTTTATAGGAAAATGCTCTTTAAGTAAATTACTACTATCCAATAAAATAATATAATGGTATTGCGTATAACTGCTCATTGTATTCCTTATTTAATGAAACTAAAGTATAAATGTATTATTATTGTTACAATTTTTCCATATGTTAATACTTCAAATCAAACTCATTATACAATTCTGTGGTTTCAATAAATTACGTTTAAAATCTTTGTGGTATTGGAGCGGCTAGTGGGCTCGCCCGGCCACCATTCCAACGTCATACAACAAAACATAACCAGAATTGGATGATAACTTTAATCATCCGAACGCTCCCATATAAACTGACTGCACGTCATCACACTGAGTACATGATGTGATACGCCGCAGGGGTGATGAATGATAGGGAATAATGGAGGAAGAAATACATACCGCGACCACAATAATAGGTCAAGGCGGACACGATGACGTGTTTGTGTGTATGTCACACCATTAGATATATTTTTATAGTTCCCTCACCATGAAATCGTACGGTGATATAAATTGAAATATGAAATATTTGGTCGCTTTCAATGACTATTTCGTGAGATCAATGTCAAAGAAAATGCGATTTTATTAATATGGATAAATTAATTCGACGAATACTTTGGTTTAAATTTAATGAAAGAATTTTGTATTTTTAATTTTGTAAAGAATCCGCTATTTCATATCAAAACATAACTAGAACATATTGCTTGCAAATAATAATATACAGTTGAAATCATGTAAATATGTACATAATTTGAGTAGGTAGATATAGCTTATATAATGCACATAAATGTACAACGAATCTAAAAATTACTACGTTATTTCATTTATAAAAGTTTTAATATACGTATATATAAATATATATTTAAGGAGTAATAAATAAGAAGTTAATGGAAACTCAAAATATAAAAGTTATAATATGCATCGCCACATATTCCTAAAGAAAAAAAAATCTATACATATATATATAATAGTTATATTTGATTGAAGAAGACTAAAGTATTTGAAATAGTCTAAGTACATATATAAAAGATCCTAACAAAGTGATTCAGAATTAAAAATCAAATGCTATCACGGATAAAATCCAATCTGCTGTACGGAAGCGGTTACTTGTAATTAATTATTTACATAATAATCAATTAATATACAAGACTGTTGACATACCCGCCTTTTAATAATATAATAATAATAGTATCCACCAATGATAACTTCCTTCTTTGTTATATTACAATTTTAATAATTCTATGGTCTGTTTCACTTAGACACAAAGAATACTATATGTAATGTAAGTATTTGAAAAACTATCAGTTTTATGTTGATGTAGTATTTATTATAGTCCTCTCTGACTGTATTTTCAATATGCCTAATTAACTATTTAAATGTGTGTAATATATATTTTCTTGATTTAATGTATTTTTCATGCATAATTTAATAAAATATTAGCAATCTGCACTCCTCTATATCGATCGGAATTACGACGGCCTGAGCCGAGGTTCGGATCTACAGTCTATAGACTAAAGTCGTATCCTTCAGGAGTTGACCTTCCGTAGGTTTGTAGTGCTATCTGCACTCGCCCCCTATCGTCCAGTGAAGCTGTAAAATCCAACTGCGGCCAACAGCTTTAGAGTAGTCCAAAAAAAAATAGGAGTAATCCCAGTGGTGGAACGATAAAACGTTAACGATGTGACGCTATGAATCATATCGACGTAACTGTACAACGGGCATTCCTAATAAAAATAATAAGAAAATCACGTATACTTCAAAAGAATCTTACGTCGGCTAACGAATTCATTTAAGGAACGCCGATCACGGTCTTGTGCCGTGATTATTTAAATATCATTACACGTAGCAAATCTCGATTATTACCGGTCCTTTTATCGTACAACTAGCGACGCGCCCCGGTTCCTCACGACTGCTCCTATTGTAGGGATCTCTATTAAAAAAATGTCTATCTTACTTATTTATCATTTTTTATATAATTCGAATGCAAACAAGCTGATGCTAAGTAGTAAGTGGTAATTGAACAGAACTACGGACACGTTATCATGTGACACTCTTGATACCACTCATGCGTTGCCATTCCAGAAACCTAAGATGTCATGCCTCTAATCCTGTTTCTAATTAGCTTGTTCAAAATAATAATGACTTTTTAGTTTTAGTTACGTCGATAAAGTCCACTAATAGTAGTTTTACTCGTATATCTACCATGAACAGATATCCATTAGTTACATTTTTCTTATATAATATCTATACATAAACTTTCCGGAAGATATTGTCTAAATTATACGACCAAAATTAGATGTGTCGTTTATGCGAAAAGTGCGAACAAACAGACAAAAACAGCAACATAATTATTTTAGAGATTCGACCGTTTCACTGATATTATATACACCTTTAACGAGCGGATGAATCACCACCGTGACCCACATATCGTATGATTAAATAACGCAATTGGAGACAGTGCGCTCCTCAAATACTGTGTCAACCGAACAATTGCAGTGTCCGCAATTTAATTTGCATTTGTGGCACATTTAACACTACACCTATTTTAGGAATCCAGTTTGTTGACCTGCGTCAATCAATAGGGCTTTGCGGCGTATTCACAACTACGGAAAGAATTATCACGTATGTGCACTTTACTTTGTCCGCAATTTATTTATTACAAGATTTGGAGTCGAACGTTTTTTAACCGACTCCAAAAAATAACGTCCTTAATGCGTTTGTTTCTTTAATATTTGTATGAAAAAATTAAATATCAACAACATCTTTACTTAGAGCGCGATTTTTTATTACAAGCTTTTATTTAACTTGATTTCTAGTCTGTATGTCGGGAAGCAGTGTTGCATATATTTTTTTAACCAACTC